TTTCAGGATAAGTAATTTCCCAGTGAAGCCATGATTCCACGGTAGTTCTGTCAAACAGATCGCGCTCACGGAACACGTTGCTCACTTCATTTCTTATTTACTTTGATCAACATCTGTCGGCTGGTTTTTTCCCCTTTAATGTCTGCGACTTCCCAAGGACAGACTTTGTCCTTGATTTTCCACAACCAAATATTACCTGGGATGTTTACTAGCAGAAAACAAATATGAACAAATATAAATATGGCCTTCAGGATCTATCTATCTATCTATCTATCCATCCGTCCATCCATCCATCCATCCATCCATCCATCCATCCATCCATCCATCCATCCTGCGATTTCCCTTGAGGGTCACAAGAGTGTTCAATAGAAAAAAACGTCCAGATTTTAGAAGTTGTTTTTTTGTTTGTTTAATCTTATGAATACTGTATAATACAACAGTGCAAATTAGTACAATTAACAAATTAACAACAACAAAAAAAAAACAATTGAAAATAAATAAAATCTTCAAGAGCAAAATTCTAGTCTATTCTAGTTAGTTATTTGTAGCTATTGGCTGGTGTTGTTAGTATTTCCTTGTTTTTCTTTATTTCTTTTTGTATTTGAAACAAAATACAGTTCTGGTGTTGACTCTACAGATGTTGGGACACCCATACATGCAGTCATTCCTCAAGTGAAACCGCGCATGATTTCTGAAGTCATTTTGTTTTGACATGGGAGTCAGTGTAGCCTGCAGGTTAATGTATATGTGTTTAATTGGAAGCTGTTATATAAATACAATGAATGTGACCTCAATCTGTCTGAGCCGCTGAAAACTGTGACATCCTTTAATGTCTTCTTTTGCATTTTTAAAAAATTGGGAAAAGTAGGTGTTTGCAAAACAAAGGGCAAACACTCCAAGGATTTTTACGCAGGGAAAATAGGTCGGAGTCTGAATTTTGGGATGAAAAAAAGAGAATAAAATGGGGTGAAAACAGAGAGATGTAGTCTGAGACAGGAAAAAAACCCATTACTCTGAGAGATTCTCATTCGTTATTTATTGGCCTAATCAGTTTTTCATTGTGATGTAAAATGAATCAACACACAATCTGCACTGTGGGTAACACAACATAACAAAGCTCTTTCTTCCTGAGAGCAGCTTTTATTATTCTGCAAAGACGCAGCAGTCGGAGAGCAAAGTCTGCAATTACAAAATACAAAACCATTTTTTTCAATATTTCTGCTTTACATACGCTGCTAACTCTTGCTAACTTTTACCTTCACCCTGACAGATTTTCAATTTCTTTCTTTGTTAGGTTCCTTTCAACACCATTTTGGGTCATTTAAATTTTGTTTAACTATTGTTGAACTATTTTTACAGTATATTTGCTAATTGAACCGTACACTGTCTTTACTATTCTTAAGCTTATTTGGAGAAACATAAAAAGTATTTTGCTATTCCTGTGCTTGCTAGCAGCAGATTGTTATATTTGGTTCCAGTTTAAAACTTATACAATACAATATATTGATTGATGAACCCTCTATTACTCTATTTTTTTATATTTTTCTATCTATTCACTATTTTGCATTAACTCTAGTTATATATATATATATATATATTATATATATATATATATATATATATATATATAATGCTATGTCATCTGTAACTGTTAATAACCATGTGTTTATTTAAAAACGTAGAATTCATATAGTTTAACATTATTGTTTGTTTTTTAAGCTGAATTTGACATTTACAGAAAAACTGTTGTTTTTTCCTCAACCCTCAGATGCAGCAAATACTCCTTAAGCCCGAGCTGCTCGAGGTGAAGTGTGGTGGCAGAACCTCAATGAGAGGATTCTAAATGAAGCAGGGCTGTAATTAGCACTAATGGCTCATCAGCTGCTCCTCCTCAGGGGGAAAAGGCAGAGTCTGAGGAGCGGGAAGCAGTGGCTTTAGTCAGGAACATATCTAATGACTTTAAAGGCTCCGAAAAAGACAGCGTCTTCATTAACATCCAAAAGCAATTAACTTGCTCAAAAGACGTATGCGTGACCATTGATCATGGTTGTTTTGGTTGTCGCAACATCTAAAAAGGGTCGTTCTGCTGAAGGATCTGCTGGAGTAGGAGTAATGAAGCTACTGTTTTGGAAAACATCTTCAGACATGACTGTTCTGACCAAAACAGCAGTTCTCATTTTCTTTCTCTTTTTAATTTTTACCTTTTTTCTGCCACTTCTATTTACTTGTTGAGCAGTTCCACCATTACACTAGTTTTTAGTTGTTTTTTTTATTATCTAGTCTTTGGGCCGAATTTAACTATTTTTATCTTTATTTTTTACTAAACTTGACAACAATTATAGCAATGGTTCTTAACCTGCGTTCGGTGAGTCAGTCTCAGGGGTTCGGCGGAGGACAAGACACATACCCAACTCAAATGATTCGCGATGACACGTCCCCCGCTTGGCCATCACCAAAGGGTTCGGTAAATGCGCACATGAAACTGTTGGGGTTCTGTACCTCCAACAAGGTTAAAAACCACGGAACTATGGCTTTTTCTACCTTTACTTTCATAAAAATGAAATAATAGGCATCAAATAATATGTCAACAATATAGTCAAACTAACTGAAAAATGTAAATCAAACATAAGTTGAAATTATATTAGAAATGAAGTAAAGCTGCAATATAGCTAAATATGACAATATAGCTAAAGTACTGTATCTACTTCAAAAAAGCTAACAGCAAAACAATAGACGAGAAATTACCCTAAATTACATTATCTCAAAATATGTCGAATCCAATGACATTAACCAAAATATTATCCAAAAACATGACATGAATGTTGGCGCAAAAATAACACAAAGTAAGTCAAACAGTAGATAAAAATAAAACCAGCAGCTAACCAATCATATTTTATGGTCATATTTCCTCTAAAAGTCAAGGCCGCAGGGTTTGAAATAATTCTTCACAGAAACACTTATAGCGCCGTACGTCTGGGGCTGTGACAGCTGTCGGATACTATGAGTGTGGGTGAGGCGTCTGTGGACGTAACGCTCCTAAAGTAAAGAGAAGATTTAACTTTTCTGTAATGAGGCGTCACTGCTCTGCTGGGTTTATCGTAAATCTGCTCTGAGAGCAGATAATGCCGCAGGATGAGACGGGGACACAGTCTCAACCGCCGCAACTCACAGAAGGGTTCATTATAGAAGCCCTCACTGGACTGGGCCACGGTGTTTGTTATGGTTTAACTCTAGCTTAAGCACTCAGATGTTTCTCACACACTTATTTTTCTGGGTTCAGTTTGATTTGTGGTAATAATTGTCTAGGATATATGTCGTGTATTTGTAAACATCTTACGCTCATGAATAAAATATATATGTATATATGTATGTATATATTTCTATATATGTACAGTATATGTATGTACATATACATATATAAATATATATATATACGCACATATACATGTATATTTATGTATGTATATATTTGTGACGATGTGAATGCCTTTAAAAACAAACCCAGTAAATTCCTTATGTTTTTCTGCGTCAACATTACTGTCACCACTGGCTTACGTTTCTAAGTCTAACATACTGTGGTTTACACACAGTATTGCGTAAGAGGTGTTACAGCAGGTTTGGGTGCAAAACAGTATCAACACTGTCACATAGACAATGTCATAAGAAGTGTTACAGCAGGTTTGGGTATCAACACTGTCACATAGACAATGTCATAGGTTATTTTGAGACTAAACTAGTGGAGTGTGAGTTTATTTAACACTGAGGAAACATCAAATTATTACTGGACTCCATTCTGAACATGTTGATTTTGTTCTATTTTATTTTTAAAATTTTGTATATTTCTTATTTCGACTAATTTTTTCTTTTAATGTCTTGCTTGGACACTTTCCAAAAAGACTTGACCTAGGGTTGCATTTCACAGTTTGTTATACCTGTATAATGCTCATGTGACAAATAAAATCTTCAAATAGCATTAGCATGTCTAATAGTTGTTCCAATCACTACAAACTCATACTGCTTCTGTGTGATAATCCTAGTTAAAACAGTTGAAAACAGTCTAGTCTCAGTTCCTGATCATTTCAATTAACCAGCCGGTGTCCTCTTCATCTTCTCCCAGCCTCTGCACATATAGAGACCTGCCACTGACCATCCAGTCCTGTGTGCTGTCCAAGGACTGTCAGGTGACTGACTGGAGCCAATGGGGCCCCTGCTCCAAAACCTGCAGGGATATACAGTCCCCAGCAGGAAATCGCACCCGGAGCAGACAGGTACTCCAGTTCCCCGTAGGCGAAGGTGGAGAGTGTCCACCGCTGGAGGAGATGCAGCCGTGTGAACCTCAGGAGGAGCAAGCGTTGCCATGTACTATGTGAGTATTGTTAAGTACTTGGTTCAACTAAAACACAAACAGAATTTTCTAGACTTACCTCAACCTGCACTGTTAGATTAGGGTGCTGTGTCACTTCTGCGGTTGTTTTCCTGCAGGTACACCTGGAAAACCACAGAGTGGAGCGACTGTAGAGTTGACTTGTTGCTCAGCCAGCAGGACCGTCGACGCAGCAATCTGACGGGTCTTTGTGGAGGAGGTCTGCAGACCAGAGAGGTTTACTGTGTCCAGGCCAATGTTAAGCTGCAGAAAGGCCTCAGCGACGACGACAAAGGTGAAAAGAGTTAGCTTTTGTTAGCGCTACATTTACGAAATTCTTTGAAGTCTTGAAGTCTGCAACTAATGTACGTAGGGTGGCATAACTGCTACAAAACAAAACAACAAAAAACAACTGTGTAAACTATGTAAACCAAAAAAAGGAAAACATCTAATGTAGGGTAGCATAACTGCTACAAAAATAGTTATAACTGTGTAAACCAAAAAAAGGAAAACATCTAACGTAGGGTGGCATAACTGCTACAAAACAAAACAACAAAAAAAAATTAACCAATTATACGACTAAAAACTAAAGAAAATGTTACACCAAATCTAACATTTAGCTAAAATGTAGAATTTAGCTACAGATTAGCCAAAAGGTTCTGAAAGGCTTGAAATAAATATAGTACATATACAGTACCTATTTGTTGGCAAAATAACAGCCAAAGGCTTATTTGTGGCTAACTCGGTTAGCAAGTTAGCAAGAAAGATGAGGTAAAACTAAGAGAGTCAAGTTTTTTTTTTCAGTTAAAATAAAGAAAGCAAAAGAAGTAAAAACAGTCAGTCAATAGAGCATTAGAGCATCATTATACTTAAATTTAGCATAATCTGTCTAGTGTTGACATATTAGTCTATGGTTATGGTTAGTGTTGACCATAAAATTCTCATAAAATTATGACTTTAGTCTCATAAATAAAGACGTTTTGTCTTGTAATTTTACAAATTTCTCTCATAAAATAATATTTTTTCTCGTACATTTAGGACGTAATTTTATTTCATTTTTTTATTCCTACTGTGGCCCTAATACTCCATTGTAGTACCACAGATCTATTATAATCTTATGTATTTTCCTGAGGTTTTTTTTGTACCTCATCATAGCATAGCATAAAATACAGCCACTTTATAACAAACACCGGTGTGTTTACCACTTAATTATGTTGATGTTAGTCTGCTGAGTTCCTCAACTCACTTGCAGTACCTAGCAGCAGCCAGAAGCCAGGTTAATGGAGACCCCAGACCTGTGAATCCAGGTTTAATCCAAAGATTCAAAATCATTAATCGGGCGATTCCGGAAGCAACCAGCTCTAATCTCTTTGAATCACCCTGGTGTCAAACGCGTCCTCCAGTGTCTGTGTTGAGTGAGGCCGTACCAGGAAGACTCACTGCTGTTTGCTGCAGGGTTTGTGTGAGGATCAGAGTTTTTTTTTTCCACAGAGTGGATGAGAGTGAGACGTTTGCATAAAAGATCAGAGTCTGAGATTCAGAACATGTGGAAATGTTTCCAGCACTCTGTCAAAAGTCTCAGCCTCATTAGTGCAAGAGGGCTTAACAGACTCTTATCTTTAATTCTCTTTTGTTTCAACATTTCTATCTTGATTCATATCTGCTTCACTGTTTAGAGAATCTGAAGTCAGCTGACTTGGCTCCAAATTATAAAAAATAAAAAATATATTTTGTATACTTTGGCATAATTTACTACAAAAACATGTATTGGTTGTTGCACATGGCAGCAAGAATACGGAGGAGGAGCAGCTGATCAAATATATGTATATATATGTATTTATATATTTCTATATATGTACAGTATATGTATGTACATATATGTATATGTATGTATATGCACATACATATGCATATAAACATACATCTATAGACATATATACACACACGTATATATGTATATATATATATATATATATATATTTATGTATGTATGTACATATGTGACGATGTGAATGCCTTTAAAAAATTCAACACTGTCTCAGTTAGAGCAACACCGTTCTTGACTGGTACTGGTATCTCACATACTGTAGTTCATAGTCTTTGGTTAGCATATTTATTTATGTATGTGCAGATTTATTGTTAATCTATATATTTATTATTGGTGTATTTATTTATATTTGGCTGAGTTCAAGCTAGTATGTGTAGTATTTCCTTTTTTTAAATATTATAGATGTTAACATCTTAATTTTAGTTTTTTTTTTCTCAGCCAATGCTAGTTTATGTCCAGCAATTAATTTCCTAGCTAATATTAAATTTACTGTTTTATTTCTTTTTTTTTTATGTTACCTCAATATATGACTCCTATGCTTTTATTTTGTTAAATCTAACGCGATTTACAACGTGTTACGAGAGTTCTGGTACAGTATTTCCCGCAAAAGCAGTTTGAGAGTGTTGTTGTATCGGAGACCTGTGTGTACACACACACACACACACACAAACACAGAGAAGCAGAAAGTGCACAAAGTCCTTATCTTCATTGCACAGGGTTTTCTTTAGCTTCCATGTAGGCAGGTTAATCCCACACAGTTCGGTACAGACAGAGAAGCAGAAAGAGATTGCTGCAGCCTCACTCTCCGTCTGGCTGTCTTTAAAGTTCCATCAAAAAAAAAAAAAAAAAAAGGCGGACACAGACAGGACACCCTCAGGACAAGATCTGGACTCAGTTTACTGTCTTGTAAATCCTGTCTTTAATCCTTGTGACCAGAAACCTTAGATCAGACCCTGGATCTTTTCTTCACTACTTCAGATGAAGTTATTATCATTGAGGTCAGGAACTTCCTATATATTTTCACAGGAATTGAAATTTTTTTTCCGCCACTGATATTTTATCAGGAATTGAGTTTGATTTTTTTTTTAATCCTTCATGAAGTTTAGAGACTATTTTAAGTAATACACTGTATTTATTTGAACTATACTGCCTCCCGATGGGGACACAGCTTCAACCTAACCTTAGTCCCTCCAAACTCTCACTAAAGCTTTTCTTTAACTTGAGTATAAAAGATGCAGGAGATCTAAAGCAGTTGAGTAGAGGACAACTGGACTGTCTTGGTTTCTTGAAGACGTTTGACCTCTCAGGGTCAAAATGTGAGTTGTTGTAGCAGAAAAATCAATCATATTGTGATCACCAGGGTCAAGGTGTGAATAGAGGGTTTTGTGAGTCAAATGGGAAGTACATATCCACAATGTCCTTCTGAGTTCTCGGCCTTGAAAACCCAACCGTCTTCTACCAAGACAGACAGACTTGACCCACAGCCAACTGGATCCTCAGGTGATACCAAGCTCCCATGTGACTCAAAGAACCCACCATTCACTCCATGATCCTGGTCTTCCAGGCACTAGGTCCGGAACGACTCTCTACTTTCTGTTTTCACCCACTCTGAGGCTGAATAACGAGTTTTTCCAGCAGTCAGTTGGAACTGAAGAAGTCTCTTGAATGAGAGGTGAAACATCTTCAAGAAACCAAGACAGTCCAGTTGCCTTGTATTCAACTGTTTCAGATAAAATTACCTCAGACTGAGAACCCATATTGACACGATGAATGAAAAAAATGAAACATACATTTGCTTTAAACCTAATCTTAGTTTGCTCAGATGACGTTTTTCAAACAAAAAATGACATTGATTGTAATTTTTTTTTTTTTTTTTTAATGTAGGATACATTAAAAAAAAAAACAACTGAAAAATACATTTGCTTTAAAACTAATCTTGGTTTGCTCAGATTACGTTTCCAAACAAAAAATTAAATGATCAAGTCCATGTTTTTAGTAGTTATCATCGACATAACAAGTGTTTCATATTAGAAGCAGAAGTTCATCCTGAGCCTCCTAAATGAGCTTTAAACAGTTCCTGGAAAACATCTGAGAGCTTAAAGAATCAAAGCTGAATCGGGGGGGGAGGTAGTGGGGGGGGGGGGGTTGTCTGTGTGAAGCTTATGAAATGTAAAAAGGGATCGCTCCTCTTACAAATGGAAGTGAGAGCGAAGAGTTCACTAAGCTGCTGTTATTT